ATCATTAGTATGGTCAGGCAATCATATTAAGCAAATAAAAAAAATATCTCAAAAATGCACTGAAGTTACCCTTTGAGGCAGTCATAGTTGGTAATAATGAAGCAGTAGAGTTTCTTCTTGAACTAAAAAACTCTTAATATTGACCATACTAATGACAAAGGTGAGACAGCACTAATTTTAGCTTGTAAAGGAGGACACGAGGACATTGTATACAATTTGCTGTCTGCTGGAGCTAATGTTGACATTAAGGACAATAAAAGATGGACTGCACTAATGATAGCAAGTGAACATAATCACATTTCAATCATTCACATGTTACTACAAGCTAATGCTAATCCTCACCTGAAGACACCAAAAGGATTCAATGCAATAATGATTGCTGGTTTCCATGGTAACTATGAGGCTGTTCGACTATTGATTAGAGAAGGAGTTGATTATGAATACCAACAAGAAGATGGTTGGAATGCTTTAATGATGGCTTGTCAAAATGGCTTTACTAAAATAGTTGAACTGTTGCTGAAAGTAAAAGTAGATCCTAATGTTCAAGAGAAAGATGGTTGGAATGCTCTTATGATTGCTTGTAAAAATGGTCGCACTCAAATAGTTGAACTGTTGCTGAAGAAAAAAATTGATCCTGATGTTCAAAACAAAGATGGTTTGAATGCTTTAATGGTGGCTTGTCAAAATTAGCCACATTCAAATAGTTGAACTTTTGCTGAATAAAAAAGTTGATCCTAATATTCAAGAGAAAGATGGTTGGAATCCTTTAATGGTAGCTTGTCAAAATGGCTACACTCAAATAGTTGAACTGTTGCTGAAAAAAAAGTTGATCCTAATGTTCAAAACAAAGATGGTTGGAATGCTTTAATGATGGCTTCTCAAAATTGCCACACTCAAATAGTTGAACTTTTGCTGAATAAAAAAGTTGATCCTAATATTCAAGAGAAAGATGGTTGGAATGCTTTAATGGTAGCTAGCCAAAATGGTCACACTCAAATAGTTGAACTGTTGCTGAATAAAAAAGTTTATCTTAATGTTCAAAACAAAGATGGTTGGAATGCTTTAATGGTGGCTTGTCAAAATGGCCACACTCAAATAGTTGAACTGTTGCTGAATAAAAAAGTTGATCTAAATATTCAAGAGAAAGATGGTTGGAATGCTTTAATGGTAGCTTGTCAAAATGGCCACATTCAAATAGTTGAACTGTTGCTGAATAGTAAAAAAGTTGATCTAAATATTCAAGAGAAAGATGGTTGGAATGTTTTAATAATAGCTTGCCAAAATGGTCACATTCAAATAGTTGAACTGTTGCTGAAGGAACAAATTCATCCTGATATTCCAGACAAGAAAGGCTATACATCTCTGATGATTGCTAGTGCTAACGGTCATAAGGAGATAGTTAAACTACTATTGGAATGGAAAGCTGATCCAGACATTGAAGCAACTGATGGACATACTGTCCTAACATATTAGCTAAAACTAAAGACATATGCAGTGTTATCATACTTCATTCTCTATATGGCCTTCTTAGAAAACAATCACACAGTATTTCTTCAGGAAAACAATCACAATGTAGTGATGATTCAAGAAAACAATCACACAGAATTGGTTCAAGGAAACAATCACCCAGTATTGGTATAAGGAAACGATCACCCAGTATTGGCATAATGAAACGACCCAGCATTGATATAAGGAAACGATCACCCAGTATTGGTATAAGGAAACGATCACCCAGTATTGGTTCAAGGAAACGAACACACAGTGTTGGTTCAAGGAAACGAACACGCAGTGTTGGTTCAAGGAAACGAACACGCAGTGTTGGTTCAAGAAAGTCCTCAGGTGGCCATTCACTACATTCATGCCGTTCATCAGTTGGTCGCTGACCTTAAACTATAGCCTACTCGCACTGAATTAATTAATACTTCATTATTGGATACCCTGAATTTCTTTTTCTCCTCTTTACTCTCCTCTTTATAATATTTAGTTGAGTAAGTAGTAATACATGTAAGCTAAAGGCTAAGTAGTTATGACATAATAAAATTAATTTAAAAGATGCATGCAATAATAGAAAACTATTAAATTACTACACACAGGCAAACACTCATGTACAATATACATGTACCTGTGCATTCTGAGTAGATAATTTTTGTATTACCTAATTATTTTTCGTGCAAAAAGTGAAATACTTTTTATGAAAAGTAGTGTACAAAAAGTGTGTGCCTGTACATGCAGAAATCCATCATTCTAGGG